AAATATTCGTCTAGGTGTATAGATTTTCAAACTGACCTTTCGTTTTTGAAACAGCCCCTTGTAATCTGTCCTAGTGGCTTTTTAAGTTCCCATGATATCATTATGAAGACCATATTTGTTAAAATTGAGCTCAGCTTAATAATCTTATAGCTGTTAATATTTTAGTTGTAAGTAAACTTGTACTACAAATAATATTTACTATGTAAAAAGCAAAACATTAATTCTATAACCACTTATTTTAGATTGTATAATATACCCGGGCAAAGCCGGGATTTGCTGCTAGTTAGAACTAAAATAGGTCTACTACTATATTAATCGTGTTGAATGTTATAGAGGCTTACAGTTGATCCCCATCCACCCACTTGATTATAGATCAACATTTGCTTGCTTCGAGGAATATGGTTTATTTATTCAGTTTTGCATTATTTTACAGTTCCTAAAAATAGTGCAGACAATTTATGGCGAATCTTTGAAACAATCTAAGTATGCATGATGAAGTATGCATCAGTTAAGTTAACCATTCTACTGATCAAAGCAGCCCAACCATATTTACACTCTTCATTTGAGATTCCATCCCCATGGTGCTTAACTGTTTTTCATTGTAAATTACAACACAATAATAATTATACAAAACATTCAACTCTTACTTATTTTATACATTATTTTAATATTATATTCTTGACAAACTGTTATTGTGTTCCAGAGACGAAACCTATATGAACAGCAATAAATTAACCAATTTCAATAATACGAAAACGTTTTAACAAATACCTTCATCACATATAATCGTCTCTAACGTTTGGGTTCTACGCAATTTCCTCCCCTCTTCACAGTAATGCTTCTATAAGTGTTGCCGACAATATAACTGTCGTATTTGAGGAAGGAATATAGTATTTATATGAAATAAGGTATACTTTACAGTAATCTGCTTAATACTATAATTTATTACCGCAGCAATTTGTGATTGTAATTAAATTTCCTTTTTGAAACAAATAACTGGTTTTGGTTAAGAGTAAATTGCTATTATAGATATTTGTTAAATATAATTATTAGTAATTTAAATGGATGTAATTGTAATTATACTAAAATACAATATACCTTTAATTCGGTGTGGTTTATTAAAATTGTGTATGATTGATCTTTAGTGTAAAAAGGAAAAGCTTTAATAGAACTAAATTACTATATATTCAAACCTTACTATAATGTAGAATACATTGGAAAATGTTTCAACTTGATCCGACCATCTGAATAAAACGATCTGTAGTTAACTGGTTTTACTCTAACAAGGTTTTTTTGGTATAGGATTGTACAGGAAAAACATAAACTACTTTAAAAACTATGTTAAATAAATAAATTTTTAGGTGAAAATGATTGTTCAAAGCATCGTCATCTAACCTTAATTAGTTTTAATCTCCAACTCATATAAAATAAACAAATAAAATAACATAATATATAAACTAATAGTATAAGCCCAAAACATAGCTACATGGAGTGGTATGTGATAAAATAGTTTATTAAACGATTTAAAAATTATAAAATCTTCTCATACAAGATGTAAAAGTTCAGCAAAAGTAGCGAATAACACTAATATTATTGAGAGCTGGGATCTCCTAAAAGAAGAACCTTTTTTGGTGTTTCGTGTTTAAACCATGAAAATTGATTCGGTGTTTTTCTTTTTTACAAACGTAAACAAACTATTATGACTATAAAATGTGTATCTACAAATAGTTTACTGCTTATATGAACTATCCAGTTGCAAGTAAAGTAACGTAGCTTTACAAAACTTAGGACAGATGAGCACTTAGTGTTTGGCGACAGATACAAGGGGTGGCAGCGTGTATAACTCACCCACACAATAACTCACTCCTGGCTAATCACACTGTTGTACAAATGTCCTCAAACAACACAAACTACTACAACAAACCCGACATTAAGAATCCATAATATACTCTATTTAAGAAATCTACTCATTGTATTCACAAGACTTATGTACGTTTATATTACATCTGAAATCACAAAACTTCTTTCAGCCTTATATTTTTAAATAAGGTTATAGGATATGAACATGTGATTTCCTAAAATGAACGAAAACATTCTACCCATTCTAATACTGCTGAAAAGCCACAGTATCATGTGGGACCACACTACAATATGCACGTATACTCCTTTATGCATTTTTCAAACTACATGCAGTGTTTTATTGGACATATGAAACGAATAATATTACAAAACAAATCAATTTAATTAATTACGTTTTTTTTTTTACTTTAAAGTAACTTTATTTCTCTGATGAGCACTTTTAGGAAGGTAAACTAAACGCCGCGATATCCAATCCAACTCATTTCCCTATCGACTGTAACACAGACAACGTAGTCTTATCGCGTGATTGGTGGGGATTATCTAGTCGATTTAACACAAGTTGAACGGATTTTCTACTTCCATCGGCAAAGCGGATTAGCATCGTGTTGTATCTTTGATAACGAAGCGTACCATTTACATTTTAGAGTTTGAATACCCGACACCTGGAAATGTAGAGATTGTTTTATATATCGAGATTTGTTTTACTTCTGCAATGCTATTCTTGTATTCAATGTTTTTATTCACTGTTAACATTTGTACTTGTTCATGAGGGAACCAATTGCATGAGGGGGCTGCAAATTGCATTGTCATTCTAATAATTTATATCAACTACAATCACGAGGTCTAACAAGAAAGCTGTTAGAGTTAAAATCCTTTGGAACATTCACTTATGTTATGATTTTCAATAGTGTAATCTAATTTACAATAGTATTAATCATTCAAAGCAGAATTGAACCTTCGTAAGTTTTCTTTGAAGCATCTTTTTTGAAGCTGGTTGTCAGATTTTCTTGATGTACTTATCATATTATCGTTTGAATTTAATTTATAATTCATCTATCGGTCGATAATAAATTAAGTAGTCATTCAACATATTATTTACATAATCAGGAAATAAATTATGATTTTTGATGTTAGTTTAACTGAAGTCAATCAAATAAAATTTTACTATAACTGTATATATTTTATGGTCCAAATCGTTGATCCACTCTCTGTGAAGCGTAAAACTTTGTGTGAGCCAGGTTGTCTGTGTGATTGACAAAATGTCTATCATATCTCCAATCGTGAGTCCCTTACCACTGTTCCCACAAAAGCTTAAAGCTATCACTATACAGTTATTAGAATTATGTAATTTATCTATTTATGTAAGACAATAGTAAATATCACAATTTTATTTCATCTTGAAGTTCAGTTTTCAAATGCTTTTTATTTTACATTGTTGATCAGGTACGCAAATCAAAGCTGTCCGAATCAGGAAGGTGCTATACCATAACAAATTAACGTCGAACAACAATATCGATGCCGCATAGGCAGTCTTTAGCTGAAATTTGGAGCTACTGTAGGAAACCGCTCTGTCCTTAACCTTCCAACTTACTATGCTTAATGTTAACACAAAATCCGTAAGTCATTAGTAATATAAGATTTGTCTTGTGTAAGCTTATTATTTTCAAGCAGATTAAAAAATATTGATCTTGGCCAAACGATTTACATTGGCCCGAATACAGACACAAACAGATGTGGTGCACGTGGCGTGGCTCACACTTGGCTGATCAAACACAGCGGCTCCGTCCCCCGAGGCGAACCTTTGACTGTTCACCCGTCTGCAGATTGTTTTCAACCACAATATTTTCAATGCTCTTGTTGTCTCTAATTTCCTCCAGAGCCTTTGGCAATAAATAGATTGGATTTCCTTTCCATTTCCATTCCAGTTGAACGTTTAAAACAGTGTATTAAATCGATGCCCCAACGTGAAGGATCTGCAGTCAAAGTAAGGGCTTACAAAGTATTGCTTTCAGTATTTTTACAATAATATACTTTATATGTTTTTTAACAAAAGTAGTATTGTGATTATTCTGATGTTATGCGTAAACCGATTTGTTTTAAGTTTGAAATCCTTAATCACATATTGTTTTTGCATAGTTTAAACAATCTAACATTGTGAAATATATTCAAGGTCTTTAACTACATAATATTATGTAGCCTATAATGTTACTCATAGCTTCACCCATACATTGGTGAAAAATATAGACATTGGATAGTAAAATTTACCCTATGAACATGAGTTTACAAAATATCTAATATCGATATTTAAACCGTTTGTTGGAAAAAGTAAACAAATCCCATATTTTCAGGAAAGTGGCATAAATCTGATGACATTAGTGGGAGTCACTTGTTGGCACGAGAACCACCGACGCCAGACATCAGCCTGCCAAGCCAAGACATGAAACTCCCTTCGAGACTTTGTTGGTGGGGGCCGCCAAGTCAGGTTGCTGATGATAATACGCTAGTCACGGGGGATGGTTTGTTGTACGTTCATAAACGTTCATCGCTACATTTATTGCAATATTAGTCTTGTTTCATATATTATCATTAGATTAATTTTACCATGGTGTTATCTAAACCTCAAAATAAAATAGCGTTAGTGCTTAAATTACTTTAATGACATAGACCCCCAATAAGATAAACATTTAATTCCTTCTACTCGGGTTAATGTATGTGATTAAGTGCATTGTTCAGTAAACTTTAACCATTCATGTTATTTAACACTCTATGTTTTATTTAATGTACATCTCTTTTCCTTGCAACTAACATGTGTTCTTAATCAAATTAAATTATTCTCTATTGCTAACACATGTTGTGTATCAAAAAGTAAATAAAACAGTGCTTGTTCTCCTATCCCAAAAGTGTGTTCATTTTTTTCTCCTCTTATAATCTCCATTTAATTTCATTCTCTACAAAACATTCATTGGTCCTTCGAGCCGGATTTTGAATTTCAGTCTTTGGATTCAATTTTCAGAACACTTTCAAGCTATCGAAATATCTTTATTTTATCATTCAATCTCTTTATGTTTCTCCCCACTCTCATAGTGTCACAAACTCTATCTAATTCTTAGTAAAGTTTCACTCCATTTGTTTTGTCCAATATGGCTACCAGATCAATTTCACTCTCAAACTTCAACAAATCAACCCTTCTCATACAAAATTCTTTTGAAAAGATTCTCAAATCTGTACAAGAGCTTGAAACACTTTCCCCCTCAATCTTGTCAGTGATACAAATCAGAACTTTAAACAACTTCTCGAACCAGTTAGAAAAGAAACATGAAGCCTATGAAAATTACCTGGAAAGAGCCTTGGAACATATATCAGAAGAATTAGATTTGGATGCAGTAAGTGACACTGAAGACAAACTGCGACTGCTATTCGTCGAAGCCAAGTCTCGGATTGAAGCCCTTCTCCAACAGCAGCCGCAAGATGTTCCAGAAGAAAGTAAAGATTCAACAAGAATTAGTGACATCTCAGCTTCATCATCTGCTCACGTAAGACTCCCAAAACTAGACCTCATCACGTTTGATGGTTCTCCTCTACAGTGGGTAAGTTTCATCAACTTATTTGACACTAGCATCCATCTGAATGAAAGCATTTCAAACGTCACTAAATTTCAATATCTTCTCAGCGTGCTCAAAAATGAACCACTAAATCTCGTAAAAGCTTTCAGTATCACTTCAGCCAATTACTCAATTGCCTATCAGCTCCTCAGAGACAGATACCACAACACCCGAAGGTTAACTACACTTCACCTCAACAAACTGATCGACCTACCGGACATTTCCTCTACCTCAAACAAATGTCTCAGAACGTTCCTCAACTTGTTTTATGAACACACAGAAGCACTTAAAGCTCTTGACTGTGACATTACTTCTAACTCTAACCCTCTGTTGTCCACCATACTCTTACGAAAACTAGACAATGACCTTCTAAAACAACTAGAGGCTTTTAGAATTAATATAAAATGCGAAACACATTCTCTACCAGAAGTAGTCGAAATAGTCAAATTTCTTAATCAAGAGTGTAACCAAATGGAAGACGCTGTGTTACATACCAAGTTTGCTCAAAGTACGAACAACCACAATTCAAATTTTAAACCCAAATCTTTCACATCCAAGCCCTCTTTCATTCAAGCTCAGAAAGTTACAATGGTCTCTACTCCAACTCCATCAAATCAAGACAACTCAAAAAATCCTTTCTCATTTCCCTGCTTTGTCTGCTCATCAACTGGCCACAAGGTTTATGCTTGTCCTAGCTTTCTCTCTCTTTCTTCAAATGAACGTTTTAAAACCGTAAAGGACAACAACAGATGTGTCTCTTGCCTCGGAAAACATGATGTTAAAACATGTAAGTCTAAAGCATCTTGCTTCAAATGCCACAAACGTCATCACACCTTACTTCATTTTGAACATGACAAGACATCTCAAGGTTCTACATCATCACAACCATCAACCACTCATGTTTCGAATGAAAAACCTACCGTATCTCTTTGCTCACAGGAAGCCAGTCCTGCTAATCAAATCCCTAAAACTGTAATTTTAGGCACAACACTGGTTAAAGTTACTGCTCAAAATAACGTTTCTCATGTGTTCAGAGCATTGATTGATAGTGGCAGCATGTGTGATTTTATTAGTGAAAAAGCTGCTCAACTACTGAATGCACCTCGTTTCAAATCCAACTTACAAGTAGTTGGTCTTTCTCAATCTCCAACTCTCACAAAGGGTATTGTGAACCTCACTGTTAACACACTGGCAGGAAAATTAGTTGCATCCAACCATGAAGTGCACATACTTGATAAAATATCTGTCAATCTCCCTAGATCTCAAATATCACAAAGAGTTCTATTGAAAGTAAAACCTTACCCCCTTGCTGATCCCAGCTTCCACTTATCAGGGCCCATTGACATGCTGATCGGAGCTTCTCTCTTCCCTCTTCTTTTAACGAATGAAAACTATTCTCTCGGCCCTAACATGCCTAACATGATGGGAACTCACTTTGGCTTTGTTGTTATGGGGAATGCACCTTGTTCAACCGATTCCCAGCCTGCCAACACTCCATCCATCTCTCTGCTCTCAACGGTTGACAACGAATTGCATAACTCTCTACAGAAATTTTGGAAATTAGAGGAATTATCTGTACCCTCAAAGATATCGGTTGAAGAGCAACAGTGTGAAGATCTGTTTAAAGCTACCCACTCTAGGGACGAAAATGGCCGTTACTTAGTTCAGCTACCATTTAAAGAAAATCATCCACCTTTAGGATCTTCCAAACTCATCGCAGAACGACGTTTTCACTCACTTGAACGACGTTTTACACTCTCTCCTGATTTGTATAAAGCTTACTCTGACAATATAAATGAACACATCTCTCAAGGTCATATGGTAAAACTACCTCATCTAGATATCAACTCTCCTCACTATTTCTTGCCACACCATGCAGTTGTGAAACCATCCAGTACCTCAACTAAACTCCGAATCGTTTATGATGCAAGCTGCAAAACCAGCTCTGGAATTTCCCTCAATGATTCTCTCATGACCGGCCCTAAATTACAGACCAACATTTGTGATATATTGCTACATTTCAGAATACACAATATCGTTTTCACTTGCGATATTCGCCAAATGTATCTTCAAATCTTAATCAAACCTTCCGATCAACTGTTCCAACTCGTCTTGTGGCGTGACAATCCCTCTGAAGATATATCCACATACAAACTCACTCGAGTGACTTTTGGAGTAAATAGCTCACCCTACTTAGCCATTCGTACCCTCCACCAGTTAGCTGAAGACTAAGGTAAAGACTTCCCTGAAGCAGCAAATGTCTTGCGCACTCAGACTTACGTAGACGACATTGTAACTGGAGCAGACACGGTAGATGAAGCAAAGAACCTTCAAAATCAACTCATTCAACTACTCAACCGTGGACACTTTGAACTTCGAAAATGGACTTCAAATTCTCCCGAGCTTCTTCAGTCTCTTCCAGACACTCATAAAGACTCTCCAGTCTTTCTTGAAAATACACCTGATCCCCATTTCTCAATTCTTGGCCTACACTGGTCTCCAGACTCGGACAATTTTTCATTTCATCTCAACCTACCGCCAAAAACACTAACTAAACGTCACGTTCTCAGTCTAGTCGCTAAAATATACGATCCTTGTGGATTTCTTAGCCCATGTACTATGACAGCGAAATGTTTTATTCAACTTCTCTGGACGACCGGTCTACAATGGGATGAACCTCTCACTCCAGAACTTAGTGCAATTTGGAGTAACTTTATCTCAGCGATACCAGCACTTGCAGACATTCAGATCCCTAGAGCATTGAAAATCTCTCCAAATTCTAGTGTTGAACTTCACGGCTTCTCAGACGCCTCTGAACGTGGGTTTTCAGCTGTTGTCTATGTACGATGTTCCCAACCCAACGGAGAAGTGACTACACGTATGGTTTTATCTAAAACTAGAGTCGCCCCTCTCAAGAAGGTGACTCTTCCACGATTAGAACTCTGCGCTGCCCACTTATTAGCTCAACTCGTAAACTTCTGTTGTTCTTCATTCAAACCCTTAATTTCACTCAACCAATGTTATTTGTGGTGTGATTCTTCAGTAACCTTGACATGGCTTCAAACTCCATCTTACAGGCTGAGCAATACGTGGCTAACAGAGTCGCCCAAACACAAGAACTTGTCCCCTATCACTGTTGGCGTTACATCCCTAGCAAGGAAAACCCTGCTGATTGTGCTTCAAGAGGTATTCTAGCCACTGAGCTTGTGTCTCACCCCCTTTGGTGGTCAGGGCCTTCTTGGCTTTCTCTTCCCCCTTCAAACTGGCCTGATGTAACTTTTTCACCTACAGATATCTCAACATTAGATGAAGTAAAACACACTCCTCAAACTGTACTTGTGTCAACTACCACTGAATCTACGCTGACCAATCTTCTCATTAAATATTCTTCATGGGAACGACTTCTTAGGATTTTTGCTTACGTCCTTCGTTTCATACACAACTGTAAAGGTTCTGAAAAACGCCAAGGTTTCATCTCAACACAGGAACTGAAAGACACAAAATATCACATTTTTAAACTTGTACAAAAAGAAGTATTCACAGAAGAAATCAACTGCCTCAAACGGAAATCATTTTGCTCCACTCGTTTACAACGTCTTTCACCTTTCATTGACTCATTTGGATTATTGCGTGTTGGAGGACGTCTTTCTCAGACATCACTTCCTGAAGATGCTCGACATCCCATTATTCTGCCAAAAAAGCATCATGTGGTAAATGAGGATGACCACTACCATATCTACAATCTTCATTCAGGCCCTCAGCTTACTCAAGCATTACTTTACAAACATGTTTGGATACTGTCTGCCCGTTGTGCCATACGCTCTCGTATCCATAAATGTGTCAGATGTTTCAAAGTCAAACCTAGAAATGTGTGTCCTCTCATGGCTGATCTCCCTCAGTCTCGTGTAACTCCTGCTCGACCTTTCCTCCACACCGGCATAGATTATGCAGGGCCTTTTACTGTTAAAATCTTCAACCTCAAGGCAGTGAGACACATAAAGTCATACTTTTGTACTTTCATCTGCCTCGTCACGAAAGCTGTACATTTGGAAGTAGTAACAGACCTAACGACTGAATCTTTCATTGCTGCAATGACTCGATTTGTATCTCGCAGAGGACATTCTTCCGACATTTACTCGGATTGTGGGTCCAACTTCATTGGTGCTGACTCTACCCTACGCAAGATTGTTGAAAAATCTCTTTATTGTCAAGACTCCAAACGGAAGATTCAACGATTCTCTTCACTTAAAGGCATCAATTTTCATTTTAATCCACCAGCCGCTCCGCATCAAGGAGGATTGTGGGAATCGTCTGTAAAGAATGTGAAACATCATCTCCGTCGAGTAATGGGAAACTCAGTCTTAACACTCATTGAATTCATCACATTGTTGACCCCAGCGAACACATAACAAAATAGAAGCGCTACTCGGAGCGCAGGAGCGTGGCAGTCTGACTAGCCGACGAAACGGACAAAGATGGCGGCGCTAGCCTAGTCTCGGCGTCTGCAACGCGCTGGTCGTCTGCTATGCTTCGAGTCAGGGTTGTTTACATAGGCTTTATTTAAATGTAAAAATACTTTTGTATAAAAACTACTTAGGTTTTTCTGGAGTATTAGTATATTGTTGGAAATATCTTAAAGTAAATAAATTGTTTTACTTTATTGTTGCCGACATAAAATTTATCTAATGAAAACCTTTACCCTTAAGTTCCTATAATGAATTATTCCTAACTGATTAGACAAGCACAAATTCGTTTAATCAGAGTTTACTTGGATATTTCCAAAGTAGTGGTTTAAGAATCGATAAGGTTGATGTTAGTTCCGGATTACCAATAAACACAAACATAATTACTCTATTTTATTGATAAATTAAAATAACAATAATCAGCATGTACTCTGGACGGATAAAAAAAGAGTAAACTATAATATAAATTAAAACTGGTCTTAATTTAAGTAGTGTTACACGTTACGAAGTAAATTATTTATAAAAAAATAATTGAATAATTTATGAAGAAAATGATAATAATTCTTTTGAGTCTAGAATCAAATAAGAGATTTATAAATCTTAAGTTATTGTCATTCTTTCTGTATTATAGCTTGAAATACATTAGAGGTAAGTAACCTGCCTGATCTACTGGTCTCACTTAAACGCGGCTTCAGGCTGTGTATTGATCACTCAGGGATTGATTTTTAAAATATCGATTACACAGTAAAAATTTGTGATTTTTTCTCATTTGTATTAGAACAATAACACAATCTGCCTCATTGTTAATTAAGGAACAAACCATGAATTTATTACTGGCAAAGGTGAACGTACTACCTGTTGTAAATTGTAATCGTAGGCATATGGTACAAACTATTCGACCTATTGTTTGATCCAAAACATAAAAAGTCAATACTGGAAATTGTAAATGAATTAGGAGTGAACATTGTACAGGGATGTCCCGTTAATCCTTATGTTACTCCGAATGGATTTCATTTGCAATTTCTCAGATTTCCCTTTTACGACAGCCCATTCCAGTTTTTGGGGTGTCGGGTCACTCGGGTTAGTTACCTTCAATTTCAACTTAAAATTGTTTTGATTTTACGTGGCAATCGCAAAAGAGAAATTCTTTAACACACACAAAAGTAGGGTACTACTAATGACTATTTTCCGGAAATTACTAAGTGGTTGTAATTTATTTCACTTAGTTAGTCGTCAGTTTAGGCTTATTGAAATATTTTTTTTATACAAGACAATCATAATACTAAACGTGTTGTTTAGTTTTAACAAATTAAAATATATTAAATGAATGAATTTATTTCCTATATTTCAGAACACTGTATACAATTATAATTGTTGAAATATTAAAACTGGTCTTTATTCAAGTAGTGTTTCCAGCTGTAAAATAAATTACTTATAATAAAAAATAAACTGACAATTCCAGAATCAAATAACAAATATAGTATCTGCCCGCTGTAAAATATGGGGCTAATTCAGTTTGAGCAAACACATAAACAAAAAATACTTGTACTTAAGGTAACGCTGTTATACTGGAGAGTTGGTGTGATGGCGATAACCTACATCCTGCTGAGAACTAGTCAAGTGATTGTTCTTTTACAAAAATAGTACACATTTCTCAGGATATGAAATAGACAACAATCATTTTTGTTTAGTAATTAAAATGATTGTTCAAATATATTACAATGTTAGAGTTCGCTACTATGTACTATAAAATAAGTAACGAAAGTCTTCACAAAAATAAAGTCAGGCAATATCTCAATAAAACTGTAATTTTTCTGGGACAATAAATTGAGTGTAATTTTACAAACATTTGGGAAGTTTTATTTAACTTACATAATTATCTTTAGTTTATCTTGGATGATATTGAAAGCAAATTAGTCCTTAAAAAGCTGTGCCAAACGGTTGAAAATTCTTCATAGACAATATATTTGAAAATGTCTTTAATATATACAATATTACAGTACACCAGTATAAATAAAACATTAAAACACTGCACGCTAAATTTATAGACGACGGCCCGGCGGGGCAGCGGGCGTGGCGCGGAGCAGCGGCAACGGCCCTCTTGTACCTGATATTTTTAGAAAACCACGCACGATAAAAAATTTTTGGCGAATCGGATAGTTAAATTTGGTTATTTATCCACAACTTTCCCGCTGACGAAATTACTCTGACCAAAAAATAAAAAATTTCCTCGCTATACAACTTTTTCATGTCTGAATGTGAAAAATTAAACTACATAAGTAAAACAAATATTTATAAATCAATTACTATCATAACTATAAATTTTATATTAACACCATCGTTATCATCAGTATCAGATCTACAAGTGTGCAACATTTCAGCAATTTTTGTCAACTATTAATGTTGTTTATGATCGTGTATTTGTCGCGGGGTTTTTAATGCGAACTGTGCTCGCGGGTCTTGGATTCAGGCTGTATGACGGACCAAGATGGCGGATTTGGCCACACTTTCAGTGCATTTGGTTAAACGCCGTGTCCTCTCTATTATTATTATTATTATGTGCTCGCTGGTTGACCCAAATCGAAGCAATGCTCAATTCCCGACCACTGACACCTCTTTCAAATGATCCTTCGGATCTCGCAGCACTGACTCCCGGACACTTCCTGATTGGTGCACCCCTCACAGCAGTACCTGAACCTAATCTCCTGACAGTTCCTGAAAACCGTCTCAAGCAATGGCAGCTAGTTCAAGCATTTCATCAACGCATATGGCATAGATGGCACCTAGAATACTTAAACAACTTGCAACAACGTACCAAGTGGACTCGGAAATCAAAAAATCTTGAAGTGGGTGACCTTGTTCTGGTACATATGGACTCACCACCTCTCTCGTGGCCTCTCGCTCGAATTACAGCAGTTCATCCAGGGGCTGATGGGGTTGTGCGAGTGATAGACTTAAAAACATCAAGTGGCAACCTCAGAAGATCTGCCCACAAAGTGTTTCCCCTGCCAACTGTGGATTCGTGAACTGTTTTTGTTGAATCCACTGGGGATTCAAGGCCCCCGGTATGTTCAGTAAACTTTAACCATTCATATTATTTAACACTCTATGTTTTATTTAATGTACATCTCTTTTCCTTGCAACTAACATGTGTTCTTAATCAAATTAAATTATTCTCTATTGCTAACACATGTTGTGTATCAAAAAGTAAATAAAACAGTGCTTGTTCTCCTATCCCAAAAGTGTGTTCATTTTTTTCTCCTCTTATAATCACCATTTAATTTCATTCTCTACAAAACATTCATGCATAATTATTCGTCTGAAATAAAAATTAATAAGGTGTCTATGAATGGATTTTTTTATCGGATGTACATCATATATTTCACAAAGAAATATGTAGTTTACAACGAAAATTGCTACAAACTACATTGCATAGAGAAGAGAAAAGTGCTATTTCATTTCGTACTTGATATAACAAATTTTATTTGTCTATAATAATAATAATACTAGACAAGAATCGTGTGATGGTAAAATATCTTTCGACACGAATAAAAAATTCACATGTAGGCCTAAGGTAATCCTAAACAACGAGTTAGAAGGAAAACTTAATATTTTGATTTCTTAATGTAGTACCTTGCAAAAAACACACATTATTGTGAAATGTAAAAACAAATTAACTATTCTGCCCTAAACCCCAGATCATTAACTCTACCTTACGCAATAATGTTTGTTAATTGCCTGAACATACGTTTCCTTGAGTTCAGCTACTGAATGTGACACGTAGAAGTTTCGGACAAAATTACTCTCCAGCCTCACCTGTCCACTAAATGGTGTCCCTCCCAACACAGCTCGTTTGTAACATATAATTAAAAGACACATGTTAAACCTATCTTCTATTCTATTTTGGAATTAAATGTTCTATTATGTTAATTGAAAACTGGGTTTAATGTGGTTAATTTCGTTTGATTATCAAATGTTTTACTTTGTGTAATAGTTGACCGAATGTAATTTTAACTCAATTGTAATCTTTTTTCTTTGTTTAAATTTCATTGTTGGTGATTGTTAATTAATAATGTTCAAATGTTTAGTACGGGCATTTTTTTATCACAATGGTAAAAAAACCAATACACAACGTTTCGGGATCTGGGGACCTGGAGACAGGATCAAATCCGAAATCCCGAAACTTGTTGTTTTTTTACCATTGTGATGGAAAATGACCGCAATAAACAAACCTTTGAACGACATGTAATCTTTGTACATATTAAGTTTCATATGGTAATGAAGTCCTATATTTTCTCTAAGAGTATTTTTTATTTCGTGCAATCAACAAAAAGTACCGTCAGTTGAAAATAAAGTTGAGATTGCTTACAAACTTTTAAAGCCGGGCCTATGAAACTACATCTAATGGTATGTTATTATAAAAATAATGCAAGAACTCCTCAATTTAATTCTAACCATACGAGTAAATTATTTTAATTATGCTTTTGATTAGTACAGGTAAAGAATGATAAAATCGGCGAATGATTGTTCTACTAATCATAAACTATCGCGATTTAACTCCTTGTGCAGTTGATCACCGATGTTCATACTGTACTAAGATGTCAATAACCTGCTAGTTACGGACGGACTAGTGCCACAAGCTGCTTTTTAGACAATAATTAGTGCACAATAAGTCTGCGAGGACGACTGAAACTACAGTAAGTACGTCAATAGGAAATAAATTGTAAATATACAGTTTTATTATAATTCAGCTATTGAATGGTTGTAATACGCTTTGTTTAATTTTTTTTTTTCTTGAACATATTACAAGTTAATAACAAATCATTTTGTGTTCTACCTTGGAAAGTGATTTAAAAGACAACTTTATCCTAACTTTAGCGGTAGTTTGTGTGTTTTAATTTACTATAACCCAAAATTAAACGTCTTAACAACTATTTGAAAGTCAA